CAACCCTGAGCCGGTGAGATTTGAACCGCTGAACTGCTGATCTAGCAGTAGCCTGCAGTGCTGCATTTAACCACTGCGCCACCTTGGCTCAAAATCAGTTGTTTATGATTGGATTCTACCAGATTGTTATTCTAATCTGTTTGCTTTAGTTTATCTCAAAATGAAATGGCATGTCCAATTTTTTGCTCGTCGGTGAGTTTGTTTACTTATTTATATATATATCCCACCTTTATTATGTTTACAAATAACTCAAGGTGGCAATACACCTTTCTCCTCCTATTTTCTCCACAACAACACTGTGAGGTGAGGTGATTTTTTTCTCTAACGAAAAAATGAAGTCATGAGGTATGTATAAATATGGTTTGCATATGTTCTTCATACCACAAAAATTAGTAGTGCCCAAAATAACTGTGTAACATTAACTTTTCTTGGAATTCATTTCCTTCTTAGAAGATATATTTATTTAACTTTCTGAGATAGGATGCATCTACTTATAGATTGTCTTACAAAGACACAGATATAGGAAAGTAAAGTAATTTAGCCTGCTGCAACGTACCCCCATTGTACTACTTCCTATATTTATTTATTTATTTATTTTTGTTTAATGACAAATGTCTCCAACCAAAGCAGTGGCACTACCCATCTTCATTCTTTAAAAAATCAGGACTTCGCTGATATTGGGAGTGATTAGGTGGACACATTTGGTAATATTACTTGTAATCTATTCTAAAGAGAACAATCGCTTTGGTTACTGTACTTAAAAGTTTGTTAATAGTGATACTGTGTGGTATGATAAATGGAACTTGTCACAAACCTCATCTATTCTGATCCTCTTAGTTAATCCGGAGAATAATCCTGCTAAAAAGCATTAATGCCCTTAAAACACTGGGAGTATGTCTGTCCTTAGAAAATGCTATAACATGGTTCTGTATGAAAACATTCAATATCCCTAATGGTTGAAAGGAAACATTTCTTAATAGTTCTTTAAAATTTGAAGTTGGGTGTGCATCTATAATTAGTTGGGCTGTGATGTTGGTAGCATGTTGTCAGATTTAAGAGTTATGGGGATTTATGTAGAAATACATATGTCTATTCTGGTCCTGTTGTATTTGGGATGCCAGTGTTGTCAAGATAAAATATAAAATTGAGAATGAATTGCTGACTGATTTCCATCTGCTTTAGAATCTTTCTAAGACAATAAAGAACATTGAACATTGTTTCTTTTTTTTACTTCCAACTGTCCTACCCTGTTTCCCCGAAAATAAGACCACCCCGTATAATAAGCTCAATCAGGCTTTTGAGCGCTAAAATAAGCCCTTCCCCCAAAATAAGCTCTTCCCGAAAATATTGGAACACAGCAACAGCCATGAGGTGACCACACTCGCCATCTCCTGCACCTCAAAAGTAATAAGGCCAAGCGCTTATTTCAGAGGTAAAAAGAAAATAAGGCCATGTCTTATTTTCAGGGAAACACAGTACTAGCCTGGTGTCTATAAAACAAGTTGTAGACTTGTCCTAACTCCTAAGACATCTATAGAGTATAGCTTTTAATTGGGATTTCAGCTATGAGGAATTGGTATACTGTCCTTGAAACTGTTCATTATTCATAAAGCTACGACTTTGGCTATAAGGTTCTCCTACAGATATTTACAGACTCACATATCAAATTATTGGGGGAGGGGGTTGGTTGTTATATGGAGTATGAAGTAACTCATCCAGTAAATTTTAATTGGTCAAAAAAATCTTTCCAAAGGCTTAGTAGGTTGACCAGTGTGATAATGAAGGAAAAGGCTTTGAATCAAATCTCCTTTTCTTATGAACTCACTGTGTTCTGTAGCCAACGTTCCTGCAGCAACAGTGTGATCCCATTTAATACATTTCCTTCCTTCCTTCCTAAATCTGTATTATATTTAAAATTGTATAACAGATTATTTTTCTTCCCAAAGTTTATTTAAAAGAGAGATCCTATATCCTAAGGAATGTTGTTACATTTTAAGTTTGGAATATAAAAGAGTAACGTAATAACAAAAATAAGGCAAAGTAAAAATACAGGCTAGATGGTGTGATTTCTACAGCTAGTGCAGCTTCAGATATAGAAGAGATGGGGGAAATGGAAGCTTCTGGCCTACTTCAACTTGATAGCTTTGGGGCCAAACTGAAATCTCCCCGAGTCATCTTCCATTATTGATTTTGGTAAAATGTTTACTTGTATCTCCAATTTCCTTTTGATTGAACCAGTTACAAGGTCCAAACAATTCATACTCCTTCAATCTGTGGATCAAATCATTGGTCAGGCAGAGCAGAAGCTCTTTCAATGCTGAATTCTGGCCTGAACCTAAATTGAACCAAACACAAGCTCTGATAAAGAGATTTATTGTAGAAATAATCATAGCTGTTGTCCCTTACTTCAATGTGTGGATAGGATAGTCTATAACAGGGGTGTCAAACTGGCAGCCTGAGGGCCAGATACATCACGCACAGGTCACGCCCACCCCAGCTCCGCAAAGGGGAAAACATTGTGAAACGTTACATAATGGCAATGTGACGTGGTGATTTTGACAAACGTGGTCTATATTGTGTGTCATCCATTTTAAAATTAGCAAAAAAACCTCCCATCTTAGCATAACTATTGTATTTAGCAATAACAAATGAAGCTTGTGTATTTAAACAAACAAGTTAGCTCTGTTCTACATGGATAAAATTGTAGGATGCAACTTGCTTTAATTAGAGCTAGGAAAGCTCATCCACACTCCTTCTGTTTGCTATCATAAACACATTACATATGCTTTGCAACACAATGTGAAAGTATTAGAGGGGCAGGTGTTGCTTTCAAAGCAACAAACCAACCTGAAGATGATTGAACAAAGCCAGTTATTTTCAAAACAGATTTTTGATGCAGAAATGAACAGCCTTCTGGCACATATTTCTAAAAATTCCAGAATAATAGAGGGATATGACTATGGTTGCCAGTGCCTAGTGATTAGCAATGCTCCTATAAATTCTTTTATCATTCTTTTATTTACTCTGATTGTGTTTATCCTAAATAATTCCCTGAAAAAAAATGTAACCTCATTTTGAATAGGCTAGTTGCTTTAACTTTGTAATGCTAAAATGTTTACTTTGCAGGACATTTATCTTTTGTTGAGCATTGCAGATTTCCCATTCACTTTGCAAATACCTCCTCTGGGCTGCATTCTCATGTGGAATTTGCTTCCAGTCAATAGATTTAGTTATTTGGCATTATTGCTTCACGTGCCTTCCTCCTAATTCATCCTGCCTCATGTTCCTTCTGTGCATATGTAGTTTATACCTTTGACCTTGATGTGTGTTGGTTTTTAAACAGCCATTTTTGCATTTCCTTAGTTTGTAATGGTGACTCTGGAAATAATCAATTTTGATTCGGCTTATCTGAAGTCCCTTTTTAAGTTGGTAAGCTTTTTTTTTCTTCCTCTTGATAAAATGGCAAGGATTTAAGCTGGCAGCTGACAGATCATGTATGCAGTGATCTCTTTGCAGTGCAGTCCTTCCTACTTCCTATCCTACCTTTCTTCTGAGCATTCAGTTAACCAACATATTACTATTTTTCCACACCTATTCAGTTATATATTTTCATTCTTTCTTACTAATCGTTCTTCTTGCATTCTTCTTCTTCTAATATTTTTAAATACACCTGCACAACTTTTTTCAAATTTTCATTAATATCCTTTCTCTTTTATTAAGAGGAATATTTTTTCCCAAACTACTGTTTCCTTTAACTAGACTTCTCTTGGTTCTCATACACACCAATAGAGTCCCTCAATAACTATTACCTGCAAAAATTCAAGCAAACTTTCTTAAAGACTTCAAATACAAGAATTAAAGCAGATTGTATATCATAATTACATTTAAGTCATATTTCTCTGATTAAGTTTAGTAAGATCACACATAGCAGGACACTGGGGATATAGTGAGAGCTATAGCAGAAATGTTTGGGCTGGGGTGGGAGAATCTCAGAAAGGAGAAAACCCAGTGCCCTTAACTCTGAGGATGAAGCAAGGCATATGGGAACAGCATACTGATGGAGGTTAAAATGTTCCCCAACCCATATCCCAAGGCTTGTGTATAGATTTTGATTTATAGATTGGTTTTGGAAGCATCTAACATTGTTCATATTCTTTTGCCATTTCTCAGAACTTTCCTCTGAGAAGTGTCTAAATTTTTGAGTTTGACTACCATGATCATTGAGCAGGAACTGCCAGTTTTCAACATAATCCTTTAATGGAGATAGTGGTGTAGAGAGTTGTATTCTGAAATCCACAGGTCAGCCTTCAAATGAATGAACAGAGAAATAGGTTTGCATAAACTTGCTGTTCAAAATTTTGGATATATAGATTTCTCTTTAAAATTGGTAGAATCTGGAAATTATTTATTAAAAATAAATTTAATTAATGTATCAATAAATTTATACACTGCCATCACACTAAGAACTCTGAACAGTTTGCAAGTAAAAAAAATGATACAATCCACATAAAATTCCACACAAAAATAGTAAAGGTAAATGTTCCCCTTGCACATATGTGCTAGTCGTTCCCGACTTTAGGGGGCAGTGCTTTTTTAGGGATGCGGTCATTTCAAAGCCGAAGAGCCAGCGCTATCTGAAGAGTCTCCATGGACATGTGGCCAGCCTGACCAGATGCTGAAGACATGTTTTCAAACTACTAGATTGGCAGAAGCAGGAACAAGTAACGTGAGTTCACTCCATTTCGTGGCGCTAGGGATTCGAACCACCGAACTGCTGACCTTTCTGATCGACAAGCTCAGTGTCTTAGCCACTGATCCCCCACATCCCTCAAAAATACAAAATACACAAAAATAAACAAGTTTAAAAGAGTGTAGGACAGTATAATATCATCCGAGATAGTAAACCTCCAGATACAGGAGAGCCCACACACACACACACACACACAGCTGCATACAATTTGTATGTGGGGATAGGACTGAAGTTGTAGAGATGGGTCTGGCAAATCTGATGTAAGATTCATAACCTGGTGTACAATTTCTTATATACAAAACAAAATATAAGTCTGCAGCATTCTTACTTCAAAAGAAAATTAAACATGCTGCTTCTGTTACTGCTGGCTGTCAGGAAACCAAAAATGCATAAATCCTATGCAGTGTTAGAGTACACACATGAGTATTAAAAAGATGATGAGGATAAATGCATTCTCATAACATCCCTGGATTTCAGGCATTCTGCCTTTCATGTTTTTTAATCAGTAGGAGGTTTTAAGTTCATTAAATTGAAAGTGTTTACAATGAATTCCTCTACAGATAATTATACTCAGTGTGGAATAATCCATTATGGTGTGGATATATGAGATTCTTGAGGAAACATTTTATGCGCATAGAGCCAAGGTGGCGCAGTGGTTAAATGCAGCACTGCAGGCTACTGCTAGATCAGCAGGTCAGCGGTTCAAATCTCACCGGCTCAGGGTTGACTCAGCCTTCCATCCTTCCGAGGTGGGTAAAATGAGGACCCAGATTGTTGGGGGCAATATGCTGACTCTCTGTAAACCGCTTAGAGAGGCCTGAAAGGCCTATGAAGCGGTATATAAGTCTACTGCTATTGCTATTGCTATATTGTTGCTTCACCATATTCTTGCATGTTGAAATGTTTCCAAATTGGAATCAGTGATTTACTAATTGATAAAATTTAATGGTAGATTCATTTACTATTCTAAGGGGAAATATTTGAAAATATTTTGATAATCATTAAATTTTAAGTCTGTACGCAGACATTTTTTTAAAATAAAACCTTATAACATTATGTTCTGCTAAAATGTTGATAAGTATGTTATAAATACAAGCTAAGTGATAGTTTTGAATTTCAATCTTTATATAATGTTATGTGCGCGCGCGCACACACACACACACACACAGACAAACACGTGTTTCCCCAAAAATAAGACAGGGTCTTATGGCCTTATTTTTGGGGAAGTCTTATTATTTTTGAGGTACAGGAGGTGGCGAGCGTGGTCACTCATGGCTGCTGCTGTACTGCAATATTTTCGGGGAGGGTTTATTTTATCACATGTGCTCAAAAGCCTGATTGGGTTTATTATCCAGGGAGGACTTATTTTCAGGGAAACAGGATGTCTGTGTGTGTAATCTGCCATTAAATTATATCAATTAGTAAATCACTAATTCCAATTTGAGAACAATATGGTGATTTAACTATATACATACAATAATATAATAAATATTATATTACATTACATTACTTTATTATGTTTATTATATTATGTTTTATTATGTTTTGTTATGTTATATTATGTTATATTATGTTATATTACATTACATTATATTACATTATGTTATATTATAATATGTTATATTGCACTGCACTGCATTGCATAGCATTACATTACATTACATTACATTACATTACAATACAATACAATATTTGCCATTTATACTACTGCAAATTTTTGGTTTGGTTGCTAATGAGATTTATAATGAATGTGATGAGATAGTTAGAATGTTTATAAAATGAGCCAGAAGAAGATAAGGATCTGTGAATTTATTTTTTCCTGTTTCATTCACTGATAACATAGTATGCTACATGTTCAATGTGTTTTCCATCTTAAAAGTATATCTTTAAAGTCTTTTTTAAGCCCCACTTCTTAGATCCCTTCTCTGATGTCGGCTCATTTCAGCTGACCATTTCTACTTTTTATTATACATTTACCTTGTTGCCTTGACAACCAGTATGGCATAAATTGTTAGGTGCCTTCCTTGTCTTTATTTATATTACCATTAAATGATGGACTAAAACATCAAAATTGTACATTGGGTTTTTCTCTTTTTGTGTTGGGATTTTTTTAAGTCTTTAAGGTATTTTCTATCTCATCTGTGCTTAATAATTCTATCTTTAATCTTGCTTTCTACCAAATTATCTGAAAAATGCAATACCAGCTAGTGATCTTTTTCTCTAACTCGGATGTATGCATCTTCCAGATTAAAAAAAATACCATTGGCTCATTACATATTTCATTAAAAATCATCATTTTCACACTTGAGATTGTCCTTAAATTGTTACTTTTCAAATGTAACTATTTCAAGTTTTCATTTACTGGAAAACAATATGCCTTAATTTCTAATCCCCTTATTTGTTTCAGTTTTCAGGAGCTATCATAGTGTGTGTGGGAGATTTTTTTGGGGGGGATGTATATTCTGCATCTTCCTAAGTGAAGAAACGATCCAAAAAACTGTCACATTCTGTCTCATTTGTTATTTCAGATTCCAGCCATGTTCTCTCATGATCTCTGGTTTCTGATTTGTTTATATAATTTGTAA